TTTTTCGGTCAATAGAGGGGTGAACCTCCCTAGTGGGACACACACAGCAATAAAAACTGACAGAGAGACTAACACTTCCCCACTTTATCAAAAACCTAAATATAAAAAAGTTTTGCCTATAGATACACTTGAAAATGAAAAGAACATATTTACCCAACAATTCTGGGGAAAAAAAAGGACTGGCGCATCATGTTGCCACCTAATTCTATAGATAAGAGGGTACCAACGATTGGTGGTTAAGTGCGGTGAAAGGAACAGTAACAGAACGCTAATGTACTGGTCCATAGCAACCAATCAATCAAGGTTACATTCAGCTTTGTCAGGATGATGAAAAATAAATTCTGATTGGTTACCATGATTGAATGAAATTAGCCCTAGCATTTAAAACTTTAAAGATCTCTGTTGGCCCTAAAACCTATAAAGATACACATCTAAAAGAGAAGAAGGCATCAGAAGGGGCCAGGATTTACTTTAGGGTACCAGCAGAGTCCCACAAGCACCCTATGAGGATACTGATTTTCTAAAATTCAGAGCACATGGATTTCTCCACCATCTGCCATGTGGAAGTGCCCCGATTTTTCAGTAGGTTGCCCAGTTGTTGAATATTGCATTAGGTGATTTGGAGGTCATGTCCAAGCTAGTATTCATAAAGGCATTTCATGGCCCTGGCAGGGTTCTTGGGGAACAGTGACAATTGTGAAGTATGATGTCAGTGATCCTTTCCTCCTCTGCCAGTGAACTCAATGGGGGAGATTTACTAAAAGTGGAGAGTGCAAAATCTGGTGCAGCTCTGCATAGAAACCAATCAGCTTCCAGGTTTTTTAGTCAAAGCTTATTTGCACAAGCTGAAGCTAGAAGCTGATTGGCTACCATGCACAGCTGCACCAGATTCTGAGTGCACCAGTTTTAGTAAATCACCCCCTATGGGGGAGATTTACTAAAAGTGGAAAGTGCAAAATCTGGTGCAGCTCTGCATAGAAACCAATCAGCTTCCAGGTTTTTTAGTCAAAGCTTATTTGCACAAGCTGAAACTAGAAGCTGATTGGCTACCATGCACAGCTTCACCAGATTCTGAGTGCACCAGTTTTAGTAAATCGCGCCCAATGTGTCTGAATTATCAGGAGAATTCAGAGGCAGTGAGGCAAAAATGAAACAGGGAAATGATTGTAAAATTAAACAGGAGATACATAAATTATACTGTATAACCACACAGTGCCATTAGCAATTTAATTATATTAGGCTGAACTTGGGTACAGTCTATTTATGCGATAATAAAATCTGTCCTCAAATACAGACCCAGTCTGGTCAAAAACAGGCTTCTTTGACCTTTGAATGGTCTAAAATAAAAACAGAAAAAATGGGAACAAACTCACAAACCCACATACACACCACCATCGCCGATTAGATATTTATATACAGTACACCAGTATCAAACACACCCAGCAGTGGACAGGTATTGGCTCTAGTCTGCCAAACAAGCAGTATATTGGTCAGACTCTACTTGCAGCTAGCACATTGGGAAGACGGAGAAGGGCGAATCTGTCCTCTACATAGCAGAGGCCTCAAACTGCTGCATAGTGCTGTGTGCCCGTGAATAACACTCTCAAAAGCAGGTAAGTGGTGACACCTGCAGCAGATATTCTCTGACCTCTGCTGAGACCCGAAGACAATTTCAATAGCTTAAAAAAAAAAAAAAAAAAAAAGGTTTAAAAAATAAAAAAAAACATGCAGCTCCAGGCTACAAAACAGTAAACACTTAGGCTGCTTTCCTGTGTCACTGGACAATGGGATCCCCTAAGGGGAGTATCGAGGGACTAGGGGTAAAGCAGCAGCCAGAAATCATGAAAATGGAAAGGAAGATCCCATTGAGTTCATTTTTTGTGCATGGGTACAAAGCAGATCCCAGAATGCCGGGAGAGGTGATAAAGATCACAGACCCTGTATCCTAAATGTTAGAAATGTTGCTGTTCTGTGTAATGGAAGTCATGTGACACCTCTATGATGAAAATCATCCTATCGTGGAGATGGGCAGAGTAGACTGTGATGCTCACACACTGGGAGGTTCAGCTTCAAGGATCTGTGGGGACAAAGAAAAAAAACAAAAAACAAATTAGGCAATGAAGAATTTAAACTTTGCTGGGCGGTACTAAAGCATATAAAATTTGGAAAATTGGCCTTATAATTTGCCAGTGCTGCTCTAAATAGGGAGCATTACTTTAATCAAACCCCCATGACCAGCCTTAAGCTGCATGTTTTCCCATTATTGCTGTTCGGAAACTCCAGCCAAGCTTTTATTTTTTTTTTTTAGTTTTTAAAAGATCACAGAATTATCAGAACCTCTGTCAGGTTTTCATAGCCTCCTGTGTCCCCAATAAAGAGATTTCCCATCATTTGCTGTCCCACTGATCACACGGAAATTGAAAGATCTCCCCAAACCTGGCAGAGGTATAAATACATTCACACATGATTGATGGCTGGTACCTTATTGTCCCAAAGAATTTTAAAGTGAACCTGTCAGCCACTATACAATTAAAAAGTAACCAGAAAAAGCCTCCTCTGTGTGCCTGTGTGAGAATCCTGTAGAGCAGGGTTGTCAAACTCAATTAATTACAAACTGCATTGGCAGTATGGTTGCCCTCAGAGGTATGGTTGTATCTGGGGTACACTATGTTCAGAATGCAGGGTTCAGGAGCACATTATGTACAGAGTTCAGGATTATACTACATACGAGTGCAGAGTTCAGTAGTGCGATATGCACAGATTGCAGAGTTCAGGGGTGCACTATGTACAGAGTGCAGGGTTCAGGAGTGCATTATGTACACTCTGTACATAGTGCACCCCTGAACTCTGCAACCTGTGCATATCACACTACTGAACTCTGCACTCTGTATGTAGTGTAATCCTGAACTCTGTACATAATGCACTCTTGAACCCTGCAGAGTTCAGGATTACACTGCATACAGAGTGCAGAGTTCAGTAGTGCGATATGCACAGATTGCAGTGTTCAGGGGTGTGCTATGTACAGAGTGCAGGGTTCAGGAGTGCATTATGTACAGAGTTCAGGATTGCACTACATACAGAGTTCAGGAGTGTGATATGCAGAGATTTCAGAGTTCAGGGGTGCGCTATGTACAGAGTGCAGGGATGTACTGTGTACAGTGTGCAACCCCAACACCGCCCCCCCCCCCAAAGCTTCCTCTCATCTCTCTCTTTCGCCTACCTGGCCTGACTCTAGTACCTCCCTGTGCAGGTGGCTCTGCCTCATCTTGCAGGGAGATAGTTCTCTCTAAGATTCTGGACATCTGTCCCCACCGTGCCCCGCCGTGAGTGCATGCAGGGATCTGTTAGATCTAGGAGCTGCTGAGAGCAAAGCTGTCCCTTGTAAACACAAAAGGATTCTGTGTTTACAAGTGACAGCGGGAAGCGGGAGTGGAGGGCGAGAGCTAGAAGTGGCGGAATGGAGTTCTGCCACATTCCAGCGGCAAAACTGGGTGCAAGGGCCACATGACCAGGCCTGGCGGGCCAGATTCGACCTGCATGCCTTGTGTTTGACATATGTGCGGTAGAGGATTAGAGAAGTAGAACTTCGACCAGTAGTAAAGGCTTCAGCCCAAAGTTAAAGATGTCAAGCCACTAGTTACAAAGGGGCAAAGAAGAGTCTCAGTACCAACTTGTTGGCAAGACTTTTAAAAGTTTAAAATACAGGAAAAGTGGATTACATAAGTGTAAACGTAAAAGCTAAGTGGCAGTTGCAACAATTACCCCATAATTGCACTCAATCATCTCTACTGCCAGTCAAGCAACCCAGCTGCAGAAGCGATTCCTCTCCAGACTCATCTCCTCGCATAGTAATACAAATCTAAAAGGCTTCACACCACACTTTCACAGTTATTCAGATAAACGGTTTTAAGACAAGCTGAGGTGACACTCCATCTACAGGCTTCCTCTGATGCATTTCCCCTTATTAGGACCCATTTGTGGACTCTATGATTAAGCACCAGTACAAGGAGAAATGGATCAGAGGAAGCCAGCTGGTGGTGTGCTAATTATCTGAGAACCTCTGGAAGCACGATGTGCGGCCCTATAAATCTGTATTGCTATCTAAGTGGCACTTGGTTTGCTTTAGGGTCAAACTACAGAACAGTAAATCAAAGACGAATTCTCCTGCGCTCTAGGACTCAGACAGGTGGCGAATAGATGGAACCAGGCCTGGAAAAATCGACCACCAATGCATAAAGGGCTGTGCGGCTCCAAAACAAGGCTGGGGAAGCCCGACCAATACTGCAGAATGAAATGAAAACGAGAAGCGCACCAACCTTGCGCATTACCTCAGTAATCAAAACTTATTAGTTGTAAAAAATATACTCACAAACAGCAAATAAATCAGGCATGTAAGTCCTCACAGGGACTTGAAGATAGCGTGAGTCCCATCAAGGGAATGGGTGTTCAGTATAGCTGACGCGTTTCGAAGGGAGCTCTGATGAAGAAGGGACTCCCATCGAAACGCGTCAGATATACTGAAACCCATTCCCTTGATGGGATTCACGCTATCTTCAAGTCCCTGTGAGGACTTACATGCCTGATTTCATTCGCTGTTTGTATATTTTTTACAACTAATAAATTTTGGTTACTGAGGTAATGCGCAAGGTTGGTGCGCTTCTCGTTTTCATTTCATTCTGCAAACTACAGAACAGTCAGTTTCCGAAAGCTGAGTTTACCATGTCTGACAAGCTGGTTTTTCAAAAGAAAAAACACTTTATATATCTTGGCAACATGGATTCAAAAGTATTTACAGAAAATGCACAATAGTTACTCACTAAAGGCATGGGCCTCTAGAAAAGAGTACAGAATACGCAGGAAGTAATGAGTAGGGGAATGCGCATACAGTTGTGGACAAGGTGGAGGGAACCGTAAAGCATCTCACCTATATAAAATAATAATGAATCATTGGGACAGAACAGTAGATCTACCCAGTTATCAGTGGGCAGCATTACCTGTAGTCACATGGTACGACTGTACTCGATGCCACTCTTGGCAGAGATGCCAGACCAGGGTAGCAAACTCCTCAACAGCGTGTGAGCCTGACGGTAGATCCTCTGAGGAAGAGAGCAGGGGCTGAGACCGGCCAGCGCAGAGCCTAGATGTTGAATATAGTCCGTGAACAGCGGTCAAGGAAAACAAAGGACAAACATGGAAACTTGGGGAGGAGATATATCTAGCTTTCCATGTAGTTTATTCTTTCAGGAGGCTGACATAAGCCAAGAATCAGGAATGATGTATTGTTAAATCAAAACCCATTGAAAACAGAAACCATTTGGGAACTTGAATCACATGCAGATCTATTTATAAAGTTTTAGGATGTCAGTTGACTCAGCAATCTAAAAACGGGTCAATAGCTGGGGAGTCCAGCTGCAGAAACATCTACTATAGAAGCCATGTGAAAGGGGGCAGGAAAGCTACCACTGAGCCCCCAATCACTTCTATGAGCATGTCTGTTTTTGTGGATTGATACATGTTGTAGCAGAATAAAACCCACAGATTTAAGGATCCCCCCCCCCCCCAAAAAAAAGATGTTAGAAATGTTCAATAAATGGTATGGTATTCTTCCTACATGTGCAGTGTATGGCACCAGGGCCATGTCTTAATTTTCAGTGTGCTTATGTCAGCTCTCAGCTGATCTTTCAAGCCCTCAATTGGCTGGTACCATAGCTGGTCATGTGTGCAGCATTATATAAACTGCTAATCTAAAAAGGAAGCTAAGATGTCATAGTCCTCACTGGATAGGCAGGTTTAGTTCGGCTTTAAGGAAGTCCTTTCACTTTAAAATTAGTCCTGAAAAAGTCTTCACACCCAAAAAGAAAAAAATGTACCTGCACTATTTAGGCAGCACCCCACAATGCACAGAGCATTCACACCCTGAAGGACAGGAGGTTTGTTTATGCTTCATATGAAGGGCTCATGCACTTGGCCAACAAGATATTACGTTTTAAAGCGATTGTAAAGGGATTTTTTTTTTTTTTTCAAAATAAACATGGGATACGTGTTCTGTCCGATCCTCCTATTCTCTGGTCTTCTCCCAGCACCCCTGGCTCCTCCCCTCTGCCAAGTGCCCCCATAGCAATCCACTTGCTATGGGGGCACTCGTGCAGACTCTCTCCTGACCACTGACACATACAGTGCACCTTGGGCACACCCCTTCTCACTGGTTGTGTTCAACACCAGCAGGAGCCAATGAGGAGACAGAGCAGCAATGCTGCTCTCAGGCACATTGCTGGACCGACATTGAGCTCTGGTAAGTATAAGGAGGGCAGGGGTGGGGAGCTGCAAATAGATTTTTTTTTACCCAAATGCATAGAATACATTAAGGTAAAAAGCCTTCTGCATTTAGAACCCCGTTGTCCAAATGCTGGATGCATGTAATGTTTGTGTAATATTTACATGTTTACAATTATACAGCCTATTTGTTGCTAGGACTGCTGCCTAGTGTCCTTGTTGCTTAGTGTTCTTCACTGCTAGGGTGCAGGCGGCTATTGCACACCAACAGAATATATTCTACTCAGGACCATGGATACAGAGAAAAAGCTGCTTGTTTTTGCAGCTGTGTGCATGAGCTTTAAGGATCTACTTAGAATGAATGGCAAGGCACATATGCGGTCCATTAATGTGTGTTTCTGAACCCTCCTTCTGTAATTGCTGCCTGGCTGTCACATTGATTGGTTTAAATGCTGACACAGTCCCTGGCCCAGAACAAATATGCAAATCAAGCCTTCTTATTACCCTTACTGCTTTTGGTCATTCAGAGTACCAAAACTAGAGGCAACCAGAAAACTAGCATTTTCAGGAGCTCGGCAAAAAGGCAGTTCCTCCATTTCTTAAACGCCACATTTTCTTTATAGTGGAACTTTACTCACAATATTAAAATCTGCAAACAGGCAAGATGTTTTATTGCAGTAGAGACAGACTATGAGGGTTATTTACTAAAACTGGAGTGTGCAAATCTGGTGCAGCTTAGAAACCACTCAGCTTCAACGTTTTATTGCCAAAGCTTAAATGAACAAGCTGATTGGCTCCCATGCACAGCTGCACCAGATTCTGAGTGCTCCAGTTTTAGTAAATCTCCCCCTATGTCTCTTCTGCCAAAAAGTATGTTTATCTGCTTGTTTGCAATGTACACTGAGCTGTGCACACAGGCAGAGTGCATACAAAAAAGCTAAAACTACCACCTGATTGAATGTTTGGTTAAAGCTGAACTCCAGGAAGCTATAAAATACATAAATTAACACAGCTCTGTATTCATTATCACACCTATAAATGCTTTGCGCAGCAAGTGCCTGCATTTGACTTGGCCTCTTGAGATCCCCTGTACAGCAGCACCCAAACTGGGATAGTGAAGGGGGAAAACTAGAAGCCAATCACTAGTGCTGCATGCAAATTTGTTGACAAGGAATGCGCTAATAGGAGTAGACCGCAGAAAGGGATGACCTCATCAAGCTGCTGCTACTCTTTCACTGCCTGGTCAGGAGGCTGGGGTTGAGAGAGAGGACACCAATCTATATAATCCCAACCATGGCACCTCCTGACTGGAGTTTGCATGTTCTCCCTGTGCCTGTATGGGTTTCCTCCGGGTACTCCAGTTTCCTCCCACACTCCAAAGACATGCTGGTAGGTTAATTGGCTCCTGTCTAAATTGGCCCTAATATGTGTATGTATGAATGTGAGTTAGGGACCTTAGATTGTACACCCCTTGAGGGTTAGAGACTGATGTGAATGTACAATATATATTTATATATTTGGTATTGTTCTGTCACGTTTTGTCCCCCTTTGCAATGTACAGCGCTGAGCGAACCATTGGCGCTTTATAATATTAATAATAATAATATATACAAATATATATATATATATATAAATTGACAGCGCTATATAAGTACCTGAAATAAATAAAATAATAAATAGAACCTGACAGGTTATATTGGGCAACTGTTCCAATTTTCCTCCAGTTTTTAGAATTCAGGCTTTTTGTTGCAGGGCCACCTGTGTAGCAGCTATTTCTATATAGAAGAGCAGGCCAGCGTTTCTAGCACATCATGATTGGGTGCGGTCGCTCCGTTCTCTTGGAAAATTGCAGCAAACTGTAGTTGCCTATCACAGCTAATCACATTAATCACTTCATTTACAAATACGGGCAGCACAGTGGCTAAATGGTTAGCACTTCTGCCTGGCAGTACTGGGGTCGTTGGTTCAAATCCCAGCCATATCACCTCCTGCCTGGTGTTTACATGTTCTCCCTGTGCCTGTGTGGGTTTCCTCCAGGTACTCTGGTTTCCTCCCACACTCCAAAGACATGCTGGTAGGTTAATTGGCTCCTGTCTAAATTGTCCCTAGTATGTGTATGTATGAATGTGAGTTAGGGACCTTAGATTGTACACCCCTTGAGGGTTAGGGACTGACGTGAATGTACAATATATATGTAAAGCGCTGCGTAAATTGACAGCACAATATAAGTACCTATAATAAATAAATATTCCTTGACTCTTAAGTGGTGTCATTTACCCAACTGTGCTGTCTGGCAGGGTTGTGAAAGTCTCAGGATTGGATGGGCAGAGATGCAAATCCTTTGGTAGTTAAAGCTGTAGTAAACTCAATTTTTTATTTTCACCTACAAGTAAGCTCATATATAAAACTTACCTGTAGGTAAAATGAATATCTCCTAAACGTGCACTGTTTAGGAGATATTCTACTGAGTGGCAGTTAGTGACAATACCGGCACATGCGCTCTGAAGAAACGGCATATCTACGCCGTTCCTTCAGCACTCTGTGCTGCGGCTGTGACTCCTGTGCGCACAAGTCGTGACGTCATTGCGGCTCAGCCATTCAAGCGCCCGCAGTCCAGGATACCTGGAAGGAAGACTGGGTGAAGATGGAAGCCTGTGACAGCGCACCGCTGGAGGGCTTTGTTTCAAGGTAAGTCTTTCATAATGTGCTAGTATGTGACACAGGGGGAAATATTTTTTAACTTTACTAGCACTTTAAAGCACGTCCCTATACTGTATGTATTTCAGCTATGTATTTAGCTTTTTGCCTGGAATTCAGCTTAAACTGCTGAAGTGATCAGTAAAATGTGCTATTTTTCTGCTGATAAAGGCTGCCACTAAAGGACACACAGCTGACAAATATATAATCATGTGCACCAAATTTGACCCGGCAAATGCAAGTGGAAAATAATGCATGAAGACAGTTTTGTTAGCAATGCCCACTGAAGGATATATTACTGTCCAGGGTGGGTGACCACCATTAAGGTATAAGACATAAGTGTATGCATCCTGCAGCACCCCACGGATGGAGTAGTAGTAGGGAAGATAGTGGTGCTGATGGAAGTGTCGGTTCTCATAGAAGCGGATGGCACTGCTGTTGGTAGTCAGGACATGCAGGTACAGAGCTTTACACAGGTCCTGGGCAGTGCTGGAGATGTGACTCTTCAAGCTCTCCAGCAGCAGGGAACCTGGAAGGAGAAATAGGAGTTACAGAAACAAGATATGTGGTCATTATGCAACATTCTTGACAAGTCTAAATTCAAAAAGGAGGCAGAAGTAGCACTGTGGGCTTACTGTTTACCATCCCGTTAGCCCCGGTTCACATGTATGCGGCCGTGTTCTGCGCAGGCACGAGAGCCCATTCATTTGAATGGACTCCCGTGCCCCCCTGACATGCAGGGAAGAAGTACCTACACTTCTGAAAACGCAGCCCACACAGGAACCTAGGTTCCCAGTAGTGGCGTTTTCCAGTGCGGGTGGCGTGCCATTAGAACTAATGGCACCCGCCCGCGGGTCCGCATTCCTATGTGTGGGTGGTGCGGCTGCACGGATTTTCGTGCGGATCCGCAGCAGCAACACCCGCACAGATGTGAACCTAGCCTTAACTCCTCACCATTGTACAAGACAAAGATATTCTGGGAGATAACGTACCCAATAGCCTCATTGTCCTGGTAGCGTCATACAAGTATAGGTCCATAGATAAGACTCCACCGTTTCGCTGATAAACCAAACCATTTGCCGATGTAAAAGACTTTCTCTGATAATTATTTCAACTCCTTCCATTCACTCTTAAATCAGGGAAGGACTGAGGTCTACAACCCTAAGCTCAATAACGTGGAATGCCAGCCAAAACCATTTGTCTAATTTTGTACAGCGTGTCATATTTATCTTTCTTTCTAGGCACCCATTGTGAAGATTAACTCTGATATTTCTTCATGGTGACCACTGACACTGGGAATCTAAAATCAGGAAGTAGAGGAAAAAAAACCTCCCAACAAGGACACCTATTTCAGTGACAACTACTGCCAAAAGTGGAATTTTTCCTCACTCTGGGGACATTACATTTCACTTTACTGTTCTGTCTCCAAGACAGGAAAGAGGGCAAAGCTCTCTGATGGGGATGTAACACAGCAGTAAAAACAGACGACAGGAGGTTCTAATCCTTCTACTATACAATTTAAAAAAAAAAAAAAAAAAAATAGAAAAATTTGTCTGGCGTTCCACCTTACTTTACACAGGAGAACTGTAGATTGTTTGAAATCACAGCCACGTTTTGAGATGGGCTGTGTGTCGAGACGTACTAGTAGATAGGAGCGTTAAGTATCTTCTGCAGTACCTTAGCAAGCAACCAGCCTATTTGGGCACTGCTGGTCACTGCAAAGGCTGCCACTGCTCACATCTCTCACCTCTTTAAATCACTGAAAAGCCTTCTTTGGTAACCCGATGGAAAAAGTTAAACTCTATTCTGACAAATGTGTAAATTCCATTAAATCAGGGTTTTTAACCTTCACTTTTTATGTATTGTATAATGATGTCTTTAACAGTGTACATGCTTTATATGGTTTGTCCTAGTGTGCTGCTACTATTCCAGGCCATTCCGCAATCTTGATGGTCCTCTTGGACCCACATATGCTGGATTAGACCTGCATGCCTCCGTGTGGGAGTATTCCAGCATACTCTTTAAGAATTGACCTGCACTTGGACCTTGACTATCACACTTTAGCCATTTAGCATCTGTATAAGATGCTGTACACTATATGAATTTTAAACATATCCTATTCTGGGTTCATTTTCTTTTAATAAAGATGGATTATAAAAAATAAAAAAGGGACACAGTGGGGATTGCATACTTTAGATCATGGGTCTCCAAACAAAGGGCCAGTTTACTGTGCTTCAGACTTGAGGGAGGCTATACTTTGGCCAATGGAAGTAGACAATGTCCTGGAAATAGTGGAAGTACACAAATTCCCCAGACATGGTGGTCAGTGTGAGGAACAGCGCCCCATCGTCGGCGCCAGTGGGACGAACAGCGCCCCATCGTCGGCGCCAGTGGGACGAACAGCGCCCCATCGTCGGCGCCAGTGGGACGAACAGCGCCCCATCGTCGGCGCCAGTGGGACGAACAGCGCCCCATCGTCGGCGCCAGTGGGACGAACAGCGCCCCATCGTCGGCGCCAGTGGGACGAACAGCGCCCCATCGTCGGCGCCAGTGGGACGAACAGCGCCCCATCGTCGGCGCCAGTGGGACGAACAGCGCCCCATCGTCGGCGCCAGTGGGACGAACAGCGCCCCATCGTCGGCGCCAGTGGGACGAACAGCGCCCCATCGTCGGCGCCAGTGGGACGAACAGCGCCCCATCGTCGGCGCCAGTGGGACGAACAGCGCCCCATCGGTATCTGTGGGATGAATAGTGCCCCATTGTCGGCGTCAGTGGGAGGAATAGTGCCCCATTGTCGGTGTCAGTGGGAGGAATAGTGCCCCATTGTCGGTGTCAGTGGGAGGAATAGTGCCCCATTGTTGGCGTCAGTGGGAGGAATAGTGCAGCCTCATTGGTATCAGTGGGAGGAATAGTGCCCCATCATTGCTGTTAGTAGGAGTAGTCCTTTGTGTCTGTGGAGGAATAGTGTCTCATCACATGTGTCAGTGGGAGGAAGAGCACCCCAGATAAATGCAAGCAAAGGGCCACATCCAACCCGCAGGCCACAGTTTGGAGACCACTCCTTTAGATCACAGAAGGAATACATTATAATGGTAGCATGATGACTCTGTAACACTATTTTCATGCAGGGTAGTCCTGGGTCCAACATATTTTAAATGTCTTTATATGGCTATCTGTACAGCTAATATGTAGGCATTCACTTCTACAGTGACAACGCATGTACAATACTCCAGATGAATCTCCCGGTTGAAGGTCTGCCTTTGGTTGTCCAAATGTGCATTATTAAAGTCCAGCCCCAGTCAAAGCCTTTAGACTTAGACTGAAAAGTCTACTAAAAACATTGCCTTATTATAGAGTGATACCAACAGGGAAATTCTGGTCCTCACCAATCCCTTGCTTCCTGAACTCCTTTACCACACCCAGGCTAAGAATATACGCCACTTGTGTGTCACTCGAGAAACTGGATGCCAAGATGTCCCCATCCTTTAAAACAAAGAAATATAAAAAAAAACAGTCACAATACAGTCCTTCCTGACAAGCAGAGGGAACACTACATGAATTGTCTAACCTCTTTGTGTACTTTGGTCCTGCTCTTTATTTCTGCCACAATCATGCCAACTATTTGCCCATGATATGTGGCTGCCAATGAGAAAAATTTCTTGTTGGAGGTGATGTCTCTGTACCAGGAGTCTGGATACCTGAAGGAGCAAAGAGAAATGATATTGCACTTTCATCTATTGTTGTAGCAAAGTGCAGCTTCTGAGATAACACACTTACTCGATCGGGAACCAATCGGCGCATAGCTCCTTCACTGTGTCTATGTCATCGTGGCAAAGAAAGCGTAGAACAGTGTCGGCGACAGCAGTGGGGAGCTCCTCTTCGCTCATTCACACCTGAAAGAGACCAAAGGATTCAAAAAGGAAAAAAATATTGTTAATAAGGGACAGTCTTTTCTTTTACACCTTAACCACTTGCCCTCCAGAGGATTTACCCCCCTTCCTGACCAGACCATTCTTTGTGATACGGCGCTGCGTTACTTTAACTGACAATTGCGAGGTCATGCAATGCTGCACCCAAATGAAGTGGCCTTTTTCCCACAAATAGAGCTTTCTTCTGGTGGTATTTGATCACCTGTGTGTTTTTATTTTTTGTGCTATAAACAAAAAAAAAAACCCGACAATTTTGCTATAAAACATATCCAGTAAAAAAACTAAAAACATAATATTTCGTCATAAACGTAGGCCAAAATGTATTCTGTTACATGTCTTTGTTAAAAAAGAAAAAGAAAATTCCCAATACGTGTAAATTAATTGCTTTACGTGAAAGTTATAGCGTTTACAAATGACGGTATAGATACTGGAATTTTTTTTTTAGAATATACTAGTAATGGCGGCGATCAGCGACTTATAGCAAGACTGTGGCAGGCATTCTGACACGGGGGGGGAACTGACTTGGTGTCACTGACATCCCCAGTGACACAAATACAGTGATCAGTGCTAATAAAAAAACACAGACATTGTTCTAATGATACTGGGAAGGAAGGCGTTAACATCTGGGGCGATCAAAGGGTTAACTGTGTGCTGTGTGAGTGTTTTACTGTGTATTGTTTACATACAGACATCTCCCCCGTCACTGATACTTGGTGATCGCCGGGTGCCGGTGGGGAATCACCAGCCGGGACCCGGTGATCGTCAGCTGAAGCCACCAATGGCGGTGCGGGTAGGGCACGGCGCCCCCTACCTGGAATTGCAAACTCACGTATTTATACGTGATTTTGCGCAGCCCTGCCGCCCTGTAGCAGTATTTCTGCTATAGGGCGGTGGACAAGCAGTTAATCAAACTATGAATAAGAATTTGAACGTAAGTGGCAACACGGCATGCTTGCAACACCAAGTTTTTGGGTTCAGTTTCCCAGCAGGAACACAATCTGTATGCCATTTTTAAATTCTCCCTGTACTAGTCTAATTCTCTGCTGGATTTCTCATGTAGCCCAAAATATACTGGGCACTTGTCAAAATCAAGGACAAGCTGAACACAGATATATGCACATCCGGATGATACCTGTGTATATATGTGCCCTTACAAATATATATATATATATATATATATATATATATATATATATATATATATATATATATATATATATATATATATATATATATCCCCTCCCTCCTAGATTGTAAGCTCGAAAGAGCAGGGCCCTCGAACCCCTCGTGTATTGTATTGGTTACTGTCTTGTCTCATGTTCTGTCCCTCTTGCTATTGTACAGCGCTGAGCATACCCTTTGGCGTTACATAAAATAATACTGTATATATATATATAATATATATATATATATATATATATATATATATATATATATATATATATATATATATATATATATATATATATATATATATATATATATATATATTATATTATTACACACACTGGTCTGGCAGTCTGCATGCAAGGCAGCACGTATGCTGATATATTGAATGCAGACTGCAAGACCAGAGGGTTATGCCCAAATGTATGCCGCACAGCCCTCTTGCAGCCGTGTGCATGAAGCCATAAAGTGTGACAATGTTTTTGTTTTGGAAACAAAAATAAGTATAACCTATGCCAGGGTTAATCATAATGGAAGTAAAACCGCCCATAGACGATTTGGTCGTATCTCGGTCGGTTCAGCAGGGACAGGCAAAAATTCGAACCATGCATGTGCAGGCTGAATGAACCCACGTTGACTGACTGATTAACGTGGGTACAACCAGCCTGTCACATTTTACATGTGAATATTATTAACAGCTATTATAGCTGCTAGCAGTAAACACTGTGTTGTCCCAGCAGCTCCCCCCCGCCGGGAGCACACAAGGGCTCGGCAGGAGGGATTCCCCCACCAACACAGTCAGAAAGAAAAAAAAAAAAAAAAAAAAAAAAAAAAAAAAAAAAAAAAAAAAGGGCGATTTTCTTTCCTGCAGCTACAGATAGCCCCACAGATAGCAATAAAAAGGCTGCACAGTGGCTAAATGGTTAGCACTTCCGCCTGGCAGTACTAGGGTTGTTGTTTCAAATCCCAGCCACGGCTCCACCTGCCTAGAGTTTGCATGTTCTCCCTGTGACTGCGTGGGTTTCCTCCGGGTACTCCGGTTTCCTCCTACACTGCAAAAGACATGCTGGTAGGTTAATTGGCTCCTGTCTAAAATGGCCCTAGTATGTATATGTATGAATGTGAGTTAGGGACCTTAGATTCTACACCTCTTGAGGGTTAGGGACTGATGTGAATGTACAATATATATGTAAAGTGCTGCGTAAATTGATGGCGCTATATAAGTACCTGTAATAAATAAAAACCTAAGAGAGGTTCTAACCTTTTACCAATTGACTTAAAAAGTGCTTTTGTTTTCTGTAGGGATCTGAATACAGATCGCTGCTGTAGCTACATTGCTTATCTTCGAAGTTACAGAAATCACTGGGGTATCTTGGGTATCAGCCGATGTACTGGATAACATGAGTAGCTGGAGAAACTGGCAATTCTGTAGCTCCCAAAAGTCAAACATTAAGCAAATGATCTATAACCCTAGGTTCACATCTGTGCGGGTGGTGCTACTGCGGATCCGCATGAAAATCCGTGCAGTCGCACCACCCGCACAGAGAATTGCGGACCTGCAGGCGCATGCCATTAGTTCTAATGGCACGCCGCCCGCACTGGGAAATGCAACCGTACTGGGAACTGAGGTCCCACGTGCGGGCTGCGTTTTCCAAAGAAGTGCAGGGACTTCTTCCCTGCGTGTCACGGGCACAGGAGTCCATTCAAATGAATGGGCTCTTGTGCCCATGCAAAACGCAGCTGCATAGATGTGAACCGGGGTGAATCAATGGGAATTTTTGTAACACGGTCCTTTCCTTGACTGCAATTCCGGTTTCCCTACAAATAAAAAAAAAACACTAAGGAGAGCTGCCACAACAATCTCAGATACAAAATCACCAGTGGGCTCTATTCTGCTTCTCACAATTAAAAAAAACACTTAAATAAGATAATCTAGGTCTCTTGTATCAATACGCCCTACCTGTGTAACAAAAACCACAAAAGGTACAATTGTGCTCAAAAGTTTGCATACCCTGCCAGAAATTTTGGCATTGACATTGAAAATATGAATGATCATGCCAAAAATTGTCTTTTATTGAAGGATAGTGATCATATGAGGCTATTTATTATCAAATAGTTGTTTATATCCTTTTTAAATCAGAATGATAACAGAAATCACTCAAATGGTTTTGATTAACAGTTTCCATCCCCTGGAATGTTTGGCCTTGGTAAAGACACACAAGGTGACACACACGGGTTAAATGGCAATAAAATTTAAAATTCTGTGGCTTTTTAAATGGCAATTAGTGTCTGTGTATAAATAGTCAATTAGTTTGTTAGCTCTCATGTGGATGCACTGAGCAGGCTAGACACTGAGCCATGGGAAGTAGAAAAGAACTGTCAAAAGACCTGCGTAACAAGGTAATGGAACTTCATAAAGATGGAAAAGGATATAAAAATATATCCAAAGCCTTGAATATGCCAGTCAGTAATGTGCAATCACTTATTAAGAAGTGGAAAAATCGGGGATCTCTTGATACCAAGCCAAGGTCAGGTAGACCAAGAAAGATTGCAACTACAACTGCCAGAAGAATTTTGGGCACAACTGTATTCTGGATTGTGTGCTTGAACACCATCCATAATTTTTACTCCAATCCCACTAGTTCCTTTACAAACCTGAAAAATCACTGTACACTCCCACTGGGTCTTATACACCTCAGGGTCTGAAATCAGAACTGTGTGGCTTGTTCCATGACCAGCAATGGCATTCAAGTCTGCACTATAAAATAGGAACCCAACAATAATGAATGAGACAGTCAGATGGAGCTTAGAACAAAAGAATGGGCTTTGATCAAAGAACCCCAACAGTTGTCTCTATGGTCTTTAACGTGGTTGTAAACCTGAAACATGAACATGACATGAAACATGAAAATTGAATAAAGCATATCCCTCTATAGCAGGGTGTCAAACTGGCGGCCCACCAGATGTTGTGAAACTACAAGTCCCATCATGCCCCTGCCTTTGGGAGTCATGCTTGTAACTGTCAATTTTTCAATGCCTCATGGGACTTGTAGTTTGGCAACAGCTGGAGGGCTGCCAGTTTGACACCCCTACTCTATAGTGTGTACTTGTCTCAATTAAGAGCACTAAGTATCATTTATATCTTTCTGACAAGTTTTCCTGACACAAAGAGGAAAATGGTGACAGGGGAGGGACCTCCAGCAGATTGACAGCCACAGCTCTGCTCCTGTGAGTTGTGTGGTGGGGAGAGTGTCTCTTCCCACCAATCAGCTCTCAGTACTCTCCTCACTGAGCTCTCCAGACTGTAATTTCACCTCTCAGTCCCCTTTTTTTCTGAACTCTCAAACAAGCTTTATATATTAAGCACTTTGAACGGATGTAAAAAAGAGAAGACTGCAGATAAAGGCCCCTTTCACATTGATGGTCCGATCAGGTCCGCCTGTCAGTTTTTCAGGCGGACCCGATTGGACCATGCAAGGCTCTCTATGGAGCTGTGGGTGTCTGCCGGCATCTAATCCGATCCTGTATGCTAAAAAGAGACGGATGGGGATCCGTTCCCCATCAATCCAGCTGATTGGATCGGATGATAGTCGGGTGGAAATGGACAGGTGGTCCGTTTCCATCCAACTGCTCCATAAAAAACAGTGGGCTGTGGCTGTGTCTGCTCTGCAGACACAGAGCAAGCGGATCTGCTGATCCCAGTCTGAAAGGGGCCAAACAGGTATGACTTATGTAGAAGGATTTGTTTCATCATCTCTGTGTATTACCTGAGGCCAGTCACTGGGTATACT